CAGTGATTCCCTTATCCCATTCTTTATGGGCTGAACCGCGTGAAGTGCACTATTTATCTAAATCAGCGCCTTCGACTATCCTTCGAAATAAATGGTAAAAAATGCGCTCTCGCCGCGACGGTATTTCAAGAAAGGTAAATTTTACAGAAATCCAAGAGCTTGCACGAGCACCGGTAACTCATCAGCCCACGTCATTCCTACGCCTGACAAGAACGAGAATCCCGGCTGAAGGAGGAAATTGTTTAACGTCGCACTCGAATTTGCGCTACGGGAGGTTAACGAAAAAAATTAAATCTGTTTGACACGATTTGAAAATTGACAAAAATATCGTCGCTCTAGTTTAGATGACGAGGACAGCTCGACGCGCGATGGTCGTTTTGTGGTGCAAAAATCGTAAATAGTTTTTGTCAAGTTTCTATCGCGCATCTTAATATAATTAATATTTCACCGGATACGAGCAACGCGACGCCAGAACAAGGCTTAACGACTGCCTGTACTCTTAATGACGGAGCGTGCAGTGTCACATTCTCGTAGTAAGCCAACGATAGGTAAGATGAGCCGCTTTACTATCGGGTGAGAAATTATTCGCGAGGGCACTCCCGATGTGTGCACACACCCGATCCGAACGGAAAACAACATGGGAAACAAATCGCGAGGGCAGCGAAATATTTCGACAATTTATATGTTAATCTCATTAACAATTCAGGAATGTTCACCACTTCATATTACGAACGGTATTAAAAGCTTTGACACCGCTTGCCTGTATCTGCCGCTTGAATTAATTATCATGCAATTTATTAAGAGGATTTACGCGATATGTCGAAGTCACCCGACGTCCTGATTAATTTTGCATTATCAATTAAAAAATAATTGCCGTGGATTATGTAGGGGCTCATTATTACGCCACTTTAGATCAATAAAGGGCCACGCTGTACGCCCATCGTATGCCGGTGACAAGAATTTGCATAATATTTTGAAATTAATCGACTTTCCTGCTAATTTTCAATGTCAGATCATAAACCAATATCAGCCCTTTGTTACTGACGGAATCATCTAATATCGATAATGACTACCTCATCATTTGCGAACATTTCGTTACATCAATGAAATAATTTGTCATATCATCTTGTTATTGCACGACATAAATACTATATTACCATAGCTACTAGTCACTAGTTACAACACGAGATAATAACGTGTATGTACCTCGCGCGAATAAATTAAGAATATTATTGATACTATTAACAAAAGTATTCAATAATAAAGGATAATAGCAGCTACTGCAAGCCGATTGACTTGAGATTGTTACGCAATGTATTTAGTTATTGTCAGTACTCCCCTGCTTGCAGCTGTTAGATTCTTAAGTCTGTTTGATGATCGACCGGAGAGAAAAATCATTTTTCGGTGTTTGAATATTCTCGTGTTTAGCGATGAGATCTAATTGCGTCGTAAAGCATTTAGCCGACCCTGCGGCATTACGTACAATTTTCTTCGCATTATACATAATTGACCGGCTGATGCCAGTGCGTCCCGTCTCTTTCCGTCGTGTATCGATCTCGGAATTATAGGGCGATTATACGGTGCGCCCATATTGCTAGCACGATTTAGGACCCGTGCTTCGTTTGTTGGTTTTGATGGCGGAGCCAAATTATTACGAGTCGATAAACGTCGTCTCAACTCGATAAATAATGCATGATAGTGGCGCTCACTTAGCAGTCGAATATATTTTTCTTGTAAACTCGGGGTGGAAGGAAAAAGAAGCACAGGTGACTCCGTAAATAATTGAAAGAGACGCTCGAATGACATAGTGGAAGCGCTGTATCGAATCGTTAAACGAGTTAAAAAAATCATTTATTTCTGCCGGTTTATTACAAGCAGAGACACTCTAAATAATTCAATTGGCCGGCGAGTAAAAGTTATCTGACCGTATCTGCGCTTTATGTCAGGTATACATACAACTCGTGTCAGCGTCTGACCGTTGCTGGAAATCGCGTGTTTATGAACGATTTATCATTAGCTCTTGAGACAAGAGAGAGAAAGCAAAAAGAACGTATTCGAAGGACAAATACTCTCCACCTAGCTTATATAAACTTAATTAATGAAGTACGCTATATATATTTATACGGTGCTACACATAACGATAGTGTCAATATAAAAGATTGAAGACGAGAAAATGAAAAAGACTCATTAGTCATAACATTGTTTCGTGATTTCGTACATGCATAAATCGAGAAATCACGGGGAATATAAATGGTCGGACAAAATTAACTTGGATCGTATAAAAAGATCGACTGCCACCGCAACGATAATGCGATTTGGCTGTTCATTACGAGGCGCTGTTGATTGAGGGACGTATTGAAAAAAAAAATCGTGAGTCGCTATTTTTGACGTCCTTTATAATAAAATACGTAATTAAAAATGACGCGCCTCGCGGGACCGCGTTGGATCTTACAAGAGGTGCGACGAGACGGCTTTGTTTTATGCATGTTCATTCACCCTTGATTACATTGTACTTGCATGCCCACGCGGTGCGATATCACTAGTAAAATCTAATTAATCGAGTAAGAATAGTCGCGTGTTAGGCTTGTCTGAGGAACGGATCGCTGGTGTAACGGCGCGGCGATTGAAACGCCTGGCGTTGAAAGCGCCGGCGAAAATAAAGCGTATGGTAAACACGATCGCGAACAAAGCATCGTTGCAATTGCAGTATCGTTCTCGCATATATCCACATATCCATTTTAATCGGCGTGCGCCGCAACGCAAAACGAACGCAGGCCGCGTTTCGGCCATTGCGAAGGTTATTTCGGCGTCTCGCGTGGATACGGCGAGTGTTAGCGGACGGCAATCGGCAGATGAAACTGCAGCGAGCGCAATCCGCTCCCGTCGATATATTCTTCTTCATAACGACTGGGAATCAAGCGGATAACACACCCGATACCGACGACCCGCGAAAAAAAAAGAGACGAATGGAATGCAAAATCAAGCCGCATGAGTGTCTGTATGGTATGTATACAGGGTGTTATGTAATACCCGCCTCACCTCTTATTTGCGGATAGAGCGGACCAGACTGAGTTGAAAAGTCCTCTACCGTTTTACAATTTTCGCGATAGTTAACGAGATATTAATTATTAAAATTGACGTCCTGTCTTAGCCCGGCCTACTGCCCACGTAGCCGGTGCCCGTGTGTCATAAACAACTCCCCGCGCGCTTAGCAGCGCCAATCGCGGGACGGTCGGGCTAAGACAGCGGTTTTTAATAATTAATAACGCGTTAACCATTGCGAAAATTGCAAAATGGTACGGGACTTTTCAACTCACAAATAAGAGGTGAGGCGGGTATTACGTAACACCCTGTATATGTGTCGTCTCTAAAGTGTGCATAAAATAAAAATTATCGCGAGCAGAACTGTACCGGGAAAATAATTCCAGATCTTGGAACTAATATCTTTGACATGCGAGTTTTGCGAGTTAACGAGCTGTCTATAGAGGATAAAAGTAAAAAAGGAAGTAAACCCCGAGGAAATGCGAGTTAACGAGTTGTATGGAAGATGAAAATAAAAAAGTAAACCCCAAGAAAACATCGCGGAGGACCTTCGAAGGGAGAAGGGGCCGTTGTAATGTATTATTTAAATCGTAATTCCGACGTCCCTGTAGCAACATTAGTAAATCCACCCACGGCTCATGTTTGCTGCCACGTCCAGCATTGAATTCGAGCCTTGATAGACGATTATCGTCACCGCGCATCGATCGACAATCGTAACGAACGAACTCCGGCATTAGTGGACTATTCAACGCTGCGCGTATTCGGGAACAACCGATTACGGGTTTTTTTTTCTAGAGCGGATTTGAAACGAAATAATATTAGATCACAAGCGCGAACCGTCACATTTTGCAACCTTGCGGCAACGAATATTTTGCATGGAATTTTGAACGTTCCGCTGTAAATCGAGATAATCGACGCGACTCGCGGTATCGCGGCGATGCTCTTCTAAGTACTAACCAATATTACAGCGTAAAACATCGTGTTCGATATCGATTTCAAATAAATACACGCTAGTGAATAACACAGCATTTACTGGCAGTCACAGTTTTTCAATATTTCATAACAAATGTCAGCGTAAACCAAAACTTATTACAATAACTGAATAATAAAACAGAAAAATACAACATTACATATACAGAATCGACAAATTCGATATGAAATTTTAGGGTATGTAAATGTAACTTGCGCAAATTCTTGCGTTTTAACGCGCGGCAGGAGAGATCGATACTAATTTACATACATTCTTCTCGCCGATACGTAAGGCGAGAGTCGCTTAGACACGTTAGCCAATCGCGCAACACGGGAAAAGATATAAGGGGAAAAAAAAGAAAAAGGAAGAAAAGGGCGATCCGTCCCGCAATTGCAAATTCGAAAACGTCTCTCAAGAGCCGCGCGCAATATAATCGCGTCGGACAATCGCTGGGGATACAATTTCGCGAAGAATACGGAATGCGGGCGGCGGAATGCGGCTTATCGTTATCCGGCGGCGGAACGAGCGAGTCGATGGCAAGATGCGAGGGAATCGATAGGGCGGCAATGGATATTTTCGCCGGAGATGGTATCGCGGTAACGGAGCACTCCCGCCCGGTTTAGCAGTCGCCGTGCGTGCCCGGTCAGCCAGCAGACCGAATCGCTTACGCGGGGTGTTAACCCTTTTTGCTCCGACGCGGCCGGCAGTCGCGCGGCGAGGCTTATCCTAGACGCTTACCACTCGCCCAGTAGTCGGCGGCCGGTCAGGCGATACGAGCCGAGGCGTCGCGGCGCGCGGCGTCGGACCGCTCGCCCGCTCGGCGCGTACAGCCTGACTATACCTCACGTCGCACTCCTCGTCCTTCGATTCACCTGTCTGACGCCAAGCGTCCGTCCCTACTACGCGCCACGGTGCTCCCCCCCTCCTCGCCCTAGTCCTGCCCCCTCCACCGAAATCGATGCTACTCGCGGACCGCGAGTTCAGTCTGCGACTGGCAACCGCGTGTGTAACATCGTTCCTTCCTTGTCCCTCTCTCTCTCTCTCTGTCTTTCTCTCTCTCTCTCTCGCTTTCTCGCCCCCCCTCTGCTCGTCGCACGTTGCGTCGTGCGAGTTTTTGAGTTACGTCGAGAGGCAAAGGCGGAGGGATTGTTTGTCACCGCGGAGATTTCGGTGCGCCGGCTGGGAGACCAGTTTCGCGGGAGGAGACGTGCGATAAAGGTGAGATAAGAGATGACAGCCGATATCGTGTCGGTGACGATACTCCACCGCCAGGTGCATGGCCGTTGCGCGCCACCGGAGCGATCTTGAGGCGATCGGATGTGCAGCGACGCGAAGGATAACGATTCGGGACACACTGTGCTCTCGCGCCGGCACAACTGCTGATTCGGTGAGTAAAAGGGTTGATGGCGAGTCGAAGTGTGTGTGTATGTTCGAGGGAGACGCGGGTCACGCGTATTCGAAACGCAGAATACAGCGAATTAATGCGAAACAGTCATCAGGGGCAACTGGGTACCAGTTGGAATACCCGGACACCCGAGTAGTATCTCGTGTCAAACGTATCGGTTCTGTCGGGATTCAGTTTAACACTTCGCCGTAGTCAAGTCATCCGCCAACTTTTTCCCTTACTCGCGACACAACAGGCCTGTTTTCTGTTGTCGCACTGGCGAACTGGGGCAACAAATCGGAGTAAGACAAGTATATTTTGTTTCTCACTCTAGGCTTGCTGCACTGGTGAAACAGCGGTGCAGCAACAGAAACCAAGCCTATCGTTTACGAAACTGCACCCGGAAAACAGATTTATTTAGGCTAAACAAATGAGACACGTTGAAATCCACTGAATTTTTATTTACTTCTACTTAAGACATTCGCTAGATTTGAAGAAGTAGATGCGAGTCCTCTTAAAATTTTCAGTCTCAGTCAAGTAAACTTTTGGTGAAGAAATCATTTCTTTGAAATTAAATAAAAGTAAGGTCTGGTAGGGACAAAATTCAACCGAATTTCTTTGATTTCAAACTTTGTTTCCGGGTGTGGGCCGCCTACTTTTACACCGTCGCTCTCCACTTTTCGTTTATCCTGAGCCAATGTTTCCCCTCTAAATAAAGTAAACTCGATAATCGGGAGGGAAATGTTTTTCTTGTTTTGAGAAACTTGCAACGGACGAGTGTCGCCGCCCCTCACGTGGCGGACCGCCGTTGCGCGGATTAGCATAACAATTAAATCCCGATAAGGGGAAGATCGCCGCGTCGGCCGCGTAACATGATCGGTGCCCGTCGCAAGTAGGCGAACGCGCGATTGGTCAGCCCGGTCGGCTTTACCGCGGACGTTTCAGTGACAGTTTCCATTAGGGCGAACCGTAATATTCCAACAAGTTTACCCACGGTGGTTTCTCCCGCACGTTCCACCGCAAGAAATTTCATTCCTCCTCCTCCTCCCCCCCGTCCTCTTCCCCCACCCCATCCCCCTCCCTCTCCCTCCCCTCGACATTCTCTTTCCTCCGCCCGTGATCTCTCCGCGCGCCACGGTCCACGGGTTACGGCCATACGAGCGCGATACGGACATACGCGACTCGCCGGAACTTTGTTAATTAATTGCTTCGGAAATATAATCCACGTCGAGTGTAACTAATCAGCGAGAAACTCGGTCGGACGTTGACGGGCATGTTTGCTGCACCTATCACGTAGCGGGATGGAAATGTAATTTGCCAGGATAGAGTTAGCCCCGTTGAATGCCGCGGCGAACCTTCAGCCGCCTGTTTTCTCCCCCCCCCTCCCCCTCCCCCCCGTCTCGGTGCCAGTCCCGCTTCGAGCCAGACCTTCGGCGGCGTGCCGCTCATTGATCGCTATTCTGGATTTCGCATGTAAGGATCCGAGCGGTCCGCGTCGCGGAAACACGCGCTCGCCCATCGGCCGCGCTTCGACGAGGGTGCGCAAATCGCCCGGCAACCGTGTCGCGATGCGGATACGCGGGGCGTACGTCCGCGTCGGGCCGGACGTGCGCGTGAAAAAAATCGCAATTTCTCCCGGCGGCGCTAAGGCCCGTGTCCACGATGCGAGAACTTGGTCCAGGTTCTAGATCCGAGAAATGTGTGTAGCCCGTCAACCTGCGGCTAATCCATAAAGGGTGCAAGTGCAAACGTCAAGTTATCCGCCAACTTTTTCCTTCGCTCGCGACGCAACAGACCCGTTTTCTATTGCTGGTGAGCCGGTGCAACAAATTGGAGTACGACAAGTATATTTTGTTTCCCATTCTAGCTCACTGTCCAAGTACACTTGGACCAAGTTCTAGCATCGCGACACAGGCCTTTAGACGCAAGGGGTTCATTGTACCTCAAAAGTGTACACCTATTGCCGAAAGTGGCAATAAATTTCTACAGTTATTATCCTTATTTCCCACATTGTCTACATAGATCGTTACTTATTTCGTTTAGAACAGTTGAGAATTATGAAATTTTCTGTTAAGCAAAACTCACTTTCCAACATTGCCTAAGTTATTGCCTCGTTAATGCTGTTTATGGCCTAAAATTTGTACACCTATTGCCGAATGCGGTAGACCCCTCGGTTAGGCGGGTTATTTGTAGATCGCCCTGTACACGACGAATCTGCATTTTGTTCGTTTATAAAGTTATCGGTCGACTTCGAGATAACTGTCTAACCGAAATATCGTGAGATCTCTTTTTCAAAAAATCTTCCCTTAAGCAAGATTAGCTTTTAATTAATTGTAAAAGTTGTATATTGAAAAAACTTTGTATTTTGTCTTATTGTACTGTACAGTGATGGACAGAATGGATGCGAAACTTTTTTCTATGAGTTTAGGAACGTGCATTCACAACCAGTTACGTTCCAATGTGTTCTTCTCCGAGGAATATTTTACTCGATGGCCATTTTGAACGTTTTCGATGTATTTCTCAAGTACAATTTTCCTCAGAGAAAATATTTTGGAACGCAAACCTGAATCTAAAATGCACGTTCCTGAACTCATTCAGAAAAATGTGTCGCAACCACTCTGTCCATCGCTGTACACATCGAAGATTTATTATTACTACTTTTATTATTTATTATAACAGCAATAATTGAAATGTGGCTTAATATTTAATTTAAGACTAATTCATTGCAAATCTTAAAATTCCAAATTAAAGTTTATTTATATCCAATCATTTGTGGCGTAAAGGGATGATTGAAAGCGCCAACTGTTGCGAACCTGTTATGATCCTCATAAACGCAACGGGTATATACGTGCTTAACATTCATTTAATATTCAACATCGCACGTATTAATTACGTACATAATTAGCTCTCTTATGAGGATTCTTTCATTTCCCCGGCGGGGATCGTTTCGACATTTAAACTGGTATTAATAACCGACTCGAGTTTCGCAGCGACTTGAATAAAGAGAGGGGAAAAAAAAAGAAAAACGGTGCAGCGTCATGAAATACAGATTGAGGATTCGAAAAGCCTCTCATCGATTTTGGGACGCCTCGATTTATTCAAGAAAAGGGAAAATATCCCCGATGAATGAATGTAAGCGATAAATAACTGGCGCCAAGCGATGGGAAGTAATCGGACGTGCGTATAGAATAAGCGGGGCGCGGGTATGGAGTTTCGAGGATTACATGAAAACGGTTTCAGTGTCGGATATGTCGACGAATTCGCCGGATGGTTAAGCCAGCAGTTACGATTAAAAGCCGCGGGCTTCCATTGTACCGTCCGTTCGCGTATAGGGAGTTCTCACATAAATTGTTTAAAACGTTTACCCGATTGTCGCGAAGAAGATACAAAATTGGAAACGACGGTCGCGGATTTAGTCGTCCAGCGACGGACGCAAAGGTATTCGAAAGTCCCGCGGATTATTAAGGCCGAATCAGACTAGTGATTGTCGACGCGGATTTCACTGGGGTTGGCAATTGGCGATTGGCGATTGTCTTCTAGCCAATGAGAGCAACCCAGCGATATAAGCGACTCTCATTGGCTAGAGGTGAGTCGTCGATCGCCAATCCCGATCCAATCCGAGTCGGCACTCGCTAGTCTGATTCGGCCTTTACGCGCACAGGTATTAATATAACGCGCAGATGTAATTCGTTTCGACTTCGGTACGCGCGCGAAGCAAGGCGCGAGGGGGATGACGAAGCCGTCGCGAAGAATAAAAGGCACTTCCGAAACACGTAGACCTGAACACGATATTAGATTGCGACATTTGTACATTCGTGACTGTACATATGTCTGGCCTTAGTATGCGGTATGCGCTATGGCTGGTGCGGTACGGTAATACAAATAGGGGCTGCTACCGGGCGCGACGCCTGCACCGGCGTAGCTTCACGCATCGCTTACTCATTGCTGAACATCCCAGTCGGTAGTCTGTTGGTGCCGCTCTCGGGACACGCGAAATTTACTTTAGCCGCGAGCACGACTTTAAAGTGGTGTTTCGAGGGCATCGCCTACCGCGGCAAATAACGTTTCAATCCGTGTCACGGAGTCAGCCGGCGTCCCGGTGGCTGCCTCCGCCGTGTATACCTCGCGCACGAGGTGCGCACGTACGCGAGTGGCGGTGCACTTCGATGGCGTTTAATGCCAATGTCACGCCACGGTATGCGCAAAGTTCCGAGCCTATTTCGAATGCAATTTATTGTCATGTACAGCCGCGAGTCGGGCGGCGGTCTATTTCAGCAAGTCAGCAAGTCGGCGAGCAGTCGCGTTGAAAAGGCCGCGGCGTGTGACGATAATAATAAATTGCGAAATTGAGAATCCTTTTGTTACGGCGATCGATTGTTATTAGTATTTCCCTTTTGGATATATATGTGGGCCCGCATTACATTTTGTCATCTAGCCGCGCGACTGATTGCGCAGTTTTTTACCGTGTTTTTAAACGTGACTGTTAGAATGCGTTATACGAAGATACAACGATAACATAATGCCCCGCACGGCGGAATTGCTTTAAAAAAAACTGGGTCGTGCGCTACACGTTTATTCATATTCTCCTGCATAAATACGTCTCGCATATGAGAAAGCATACAAAATTTGTTTTTTACATGAGAAACATTTCCCCTTGCTTGCGGATATGCATAGATATCATTTTACCTGCGAAGAAAAATGCAATTCGGCAATTACGCCACGTAAAATGTGTTGTATGCATTTCATCGAACGCACGCTCGACTATCCGCATACGCTGAAAACAAAATTTTTCGCTACCATAGCTAATCGCGATCTGCTGAAAACATTTTGCTGTATTAATTATAAATTTCTGAAGCACAGCAAACGGCTTGCTGTCGCGTCCGATACAACAGGCACAGTAGCGAAGTATTAGCTATATCACAACTGAATATTAGCTTAGTTTCTTCAAGTTGCCAGTATAGTAGTAAAATTCCAAATTTCATTCGACCACATCTGGCCACATT